TTTAAGGGCCTTGGCGACATGTCATTTGGTTCATCCAAAAGTACGTGTTTTATAAATCTCCTTCTTAGTATTTTGATCACATTGTCAGATCACTGCCATTGATCTTCTGGTTTCGACAAAAGGTGGGTCGTGTAAACGAGTTCCAAATTAGCGAGTTAAGAGATTTCCCAAGCATAATAATTTCAACACTGCTTCAAAGGAATCTATTTTCTGCCGTAAGCATTTCGTGGATTACTACCCAGCACTAGCTGCTGGGGGAGGGATAGATCACAGAGTGGTGAGTTTAAGATGCCATTTTGTAGCTGCATCACAAGGTGTCTCTAACGTTCACAGTCTTGCGCTATTACCTGGCGGTCGGTAGGTCATATGCCCCACCTGAATCGAGGCTCGCTTGCGTGTACATTAAGCACTATTCCCTTGAGGCATTGCGCTTTCCTTCCTTTCCTTCGGAATGTGTAGTGACTCTCCTGCTCCGCTGTAGAATATCTGTCGTTGTGGCTCTGTTGTTTCACACCGGCTAAGGTGCCATATAACATAAGGCAGGATTTTTAGCCGATTTTTCACGCACTGCGTCAGTTTACCAACAACTTGTTTGGTAATGATTAATTCAGGTGAAAACTCTGTCTTATACAGCTAAGCTGTTTTGGTTATATAAACATGGACGGGGATTGCTGTAGTTTTACGATACTTCATTACTTTACAACAGCAGTTTTGCTGTTCTCTCACCGAGGATTCCGACTCGCTAATGGCAGTGTTATCATCAAGTGTCTTCTGTTCAATTATTCTTCTTTGCCATTAGTTCTTCCATATTTCTGAAAATGATTCAGTTAATTCAATAATCCCAAAGATTAACGATTTCATCCTTGATTATTCCCATATTGAAATAATACTGACTTCAGTTTTTCGATCATTCGCCATCGGCATGTTCTCAGAGTATTCTTGACTTGAGCACGTTTTCTTCCAAGCATGTGAAGACCCGCCAGCTCGCAGATTCTGTTGCTTCATTAAATAAATTTTCTGAGATGCATTACACTTCCTCATTTTTCCGGTTCCAGAATGAAGCATATGTTGTGGTCAAAGTTTCGCAGTATAGGAGAACTTCTCACAGGAAACTGATGCCTCCATAATTGAACTTTCGTGTTTCAGATATGTTGGATGAAAGATGGAGAGCCCGTCGCACCATCTCAGCGGATACTTATGACGTACCGCGGAACAATGGCTGAACTAATTATCAAAATGGCGTTCCCTGAAGACAGTGGCAGTTACACGCTCATGGCTCAAAACCAGTTTGGTACCTGTGAAGATACCGGGAAATTGTTGGTAACTCCCTTTGGAGAGAAAGTCCAGCGTTTCTCTGGTCAAAAGTACTTGGCGTTGGCTTAAAGGAGAACCGCAGTGCTGAGCGTGTTGACATTTTCAGGAGAATAATACAAGGTGTAAAAAGAACTGAGGAACTAACCGATTATGGCAACGATCTCCAAGCACCGCAGTTTGTCCAGACACTGAATGATACTAAGGTATGACTTCTGGTATTTTTAAAATCCATTTTGTATAAATACTGACTAAGTAAGTCAGGCGTTTGAATTAATATGGAAAACCAAAAAATTCATATGCAGATTAGTCATGTACATG